GTTTGTACACGGCACAGAATTCTACAATTTTTCTGTTCACAGTGTAGAATTCTGTGGTTTAGGGTGAACGCAAAATTTGGTGAACGCGCACCGGGTGAGAATAGCCACAAGACTCGCCTGCACTATTCTCACTCCGGGTGAGAATAGAGGTGGCCGTAAAGTCACAGTCACAGTTACCACACTCAACACCTTTCTTATTCTACTCTATGTCTACGTGTATGTAAGCTGTCTGGAGTAGACTAATGTAGTGAAGAAAGAGATATCAGTAGGTAAAATTTTACTTTCACACTTCGATGTTTAAGTTCTATAGGCCTAGATCTGGATCTATAGGCCTACTGCCATATATATTTTTTGCTAACCACACACATTTTTGATAAGAGGCTAACTTGTAACTTCAACAGCCACAAATTGATGGTTTTTGAGAAAACGTCAAACCTACCTGTGCAGCCATGAGTGAACTGTGTTCTCTTTTGAGGCCATAGTGATGAATAATGTTCTGAACTTGTTATTTTAACGAAAAAGGTAGGCTATCAGTGAGATGTTACGTAAAGTCAGGTAACTACATATGACAAAAATAGGCCACTGAATTGTTTTAATAGGAGGCATCAGCTGGAGTAACTGGGTAACACTTTCTTGTGTCACAAAGGTTATTCAGTTAATCTCAGGGGCAGATAAAAACTCAATCAGCTATTAATTAGTCTATCGGGATCAGCCATGCTGTGGTGCCTCTGCTCTCTCATTAATTATAGATAGACCAACTCAATTTTAGCCCTCTGTTAATTTTAGCAGCCCGAATCATGTTTTTTGTTCTGTTTATCTGCAGAAACGGGAGCAGTCTTCACCTTTGGAAAAAGTAAATTTGCAGACAATTTGCCAAACAAATTTTGGGTGAAAAATGACAGAGTCCTTCAAGTTGCATGTGGAGATGAACACACAGCCCTCATTGCAGGTAACTTATTCACATTTCAAAATAATTAAGGATTTAATTGTCTAGGCTTTGGTTAAGGATCTCTTGATATGACTCGTCCTCCCTGTTATGAATTGAGGTTGCAATTTGGACTACGTGGGGGAGGAGGGTTCATTGTGTCAAACCTTGTACGAACATTTGACAATGAGACCTTCAAAAGATTTCCATTTGTCTCATCAAGTCATGCTAAAATGATTACCTTCAAAGAAGACAAGAAGGGTCATGGCATGCTTAATTTATTTATTTGATTGCTGTCCCTTGTAGTGTAACATTTTTAGTCATTTTGACAAACCTTGTGCCTGAGAAAAAGAATGTTTGCGTTGATACATCATTATAGTTATAGTTGTGTGCATTCAGATATGGTGCTGATTAACAAAAATTGCGTGCTTGTAGAAGATAGAAAAGACTTCTTGTTCATGACATGGGATTTTAATTTGGAAAGTTATTTATTAATTTTTTATGATGAAGTAAAATGAGATTATCATCATGTCCCTCGTAGCGTCTGTCACTGTTTGAGGCCAGCAGCAGCAGTAACTCGAATGGCTTTTCTATGTTTCTACTTGTCATAACCCAGAACCACTTGAGCCTCCAAAATGAGCTTTTTTATGGTATAATCAATCAAAAAGAAAGGATTGTAGATTGCCATCTCAGACTTTGATGAATGTGTGTGTTTGTATTGTATACTAAAAGGCGTACTTTTTCTTATGTGGCAACGCTACATGTGGTCTTCCTATAGTCCAAACACTTTTATTTGAAGCATGGGAAGTTTGTTTCATGATAAACATGAGGTCAAAACGGATTGCTCACTTCGCCTACTTCCTAAGTGAGAAATTCTAAATGTTTATTTCCACAGAATCTGGCCGAGTGTTTATGTTTGGTCCCAACGACTGGGGTCAACTCGGGCTGGGCTCAGACAATAAAGGAGTGAACAAGCCTAGTTGTGTGAAATGTGAGTATCATACATAAAGGTACAGCCGTCTAAAATCAGGATTTTTATTTTAATCAATCATCAACAAAGGTACTGTTATAACATGTATTATTTGTGAGGGATGATCATAAAAACTAGAGGACGAGGTTGAAGGATATTTGTGTTTGGATTTTTGCTCTTTTTTGTGTAACTAGTCAGTGTGTGTCAGTGTGCTGTTTTCTAGCTTCTGACTGGCCCTTGAAGTTAGGTTAGTCTTTATTTACGTCTTTTCGAAAAGAAGAGTACAGCATTTATAGACATGGCCAAAGTACGTTACTTAGTTTTACAGTGTATAATATAGATATTTGCTTTGATTGATAGGTTTTGATGTGCACATTGGGTGCTCCCCCCATCCCCGCCTTCTATTCTTTGGTCATTTTATCCTGCATTGTGTCATTTTCCCTTGCAATTTTCTTTCATTTAATTTAAATGTACTTACAATGGTCTCTTGATGTCTCTGTGTTGTTTTTTACGTTTGCAGTGTTAAAACATGAAAAAGCCAAGCTTGTTGCCTGTGGGAGGAGTCACACCATTGTCTCAACAGGTAACAACTGTTTGTTTTCTTCTCCTCCCTAAGTTTGAACCTCAATCGTGTCAGATTTGTCAGCAGACAGCCAAAAATATAGATTATATACTTGTATTAAAAAGATGTTCTTATGTATGTAAGCTTTTTATACCTGGAGTTCATGAAAGGTGACATGAATTGGGTAAACTGAAGGTAATTCATGAGTGAGTTGTAATCACATTGAATACTTAATGTAAGGCTCTACCATATACGTGTGGTGGCCTGGGAAAACCAGGCACAATGTAATTTTTTATGTTTTTTAACTGATGGTGCCACTTGACAGCCCTTTCATTTCTCTACATGGCACTGTTTAAATTTTTCAAATATCTCAATTTATAACGGAGTTATGGAATTTTGAAGTAAGGAACCGTGCGATTTGAGAATTTGAGAAAAACGCATTTGAAGTTAAGCCTTTTTTTATCATGAACTATTGT